GGATCCCCGACCACTATACTACACACGCTTGGAGAAGCAGGGTGTCGATCCCTGTACCTCTCGCATGCTAAGCGAGCGCTCTACCATTTGAGCTACATCCCCGGATACTTTACTCGTCTCCCACCCGTCAACAAAATCCACTTTACGGACGCACCACACGCTACCACGCACTCTCCGCCGTACCGCAATCGTCAACCACCCATCGCGCCTCCGTTACGCACAATCCGCACACCAAAACTCGCGTACATGCCTCCGCACGGCCCAAACCGATCGCACGCTCTTTCCACACATGCCGCCTCGCGCACGGCGCGCTCAGCCTCCACAACCCGACCGTGAGCTCGTCCGCTGCGTGTTCCGCCTCTTTGGCTCGCGCCGGAGCGACTTGGACGGCACAACGACTGTCCGCCCGACGACCCTCCTACTGCCAGGACGGCCATTCGGGGCGCTTCATCCACTCTCTCCGGTGGCCTGGTGAGCTCCGACGACGCGGGAGGTACTACAGCTCCACTACGTTACTAGACCGAGCCACAAGACAATGCCATCGAGTCGCACCGCAGCAGTGTCGTCGTGAGGGCGACAAGAGGAGAGCGGCCGGGACCGCTCACGCCGGTAGGCTGAAAGGCGACAAAAAGCGGTAATTGGGGACCGAGAGCGTGGCGGGTGTGCATGGCGACGGCTAGGGGCGGCGCAGCGTCCATAACGCGCACGTAAAAGCAGCATAATGAGCATAAGAGTGCGCGTGCCCGGATTCGAACCAGGGATTTCACCGCCACAAGGTGAGGTACTGACCACTATACTACACACGCCTGGAGAAGCAGGGTGTCGATCCCTGTACCTCTCGCATGCTAAGCGAGCGCTCTACCATTTGAGCTACATCCCCGGATACTTCACTCATCTCCCACCCGTCAACAAAATCCACTTTACGGACGCACCACACGCTACCACGCACTCTCCGCCGTACCGCAATCGTCAACCACCCATCGCGCCTCCGTTACGCACAATCCGCACACCAAAACTCGCGTACATGCCTCCGCACGGCCCAAACCGATCGCACGCTCTTTCCACACATGCCGCCTCGCGCACGGCGCGCTCAGCCTCCACAACCCGACCGTGAGCTCGTCCGCTGCGTGTTCCGCCTCTTTGGCTCGCGCCGGAGCGACTTGGACGGCACAACGACTCTGTCCGCCCGACGACCCTCCTACTGCCAGGACGGCCATTCGGGGCGCTTCATCCACTCTCTCCGGTGGCCTGGTGAGCTCCAACGACGCGGGAGGTACTACAGCTCCACTACGTTACTAGACCGAGCCACAAGACAATGCCATCGAGTCGCACCGCAGCAGTGTCGTCGTGAGGGCGACAAGAGGAGAGCGGCCGGGACCACTCACGCCGGTAGGCTGAAAGGCGACAAAAAGCGGTAATTGGGGACCGAGAGCGTGGCGGGTGTGCATGGCGACGGCTAGGGGCGGCGCAGCGTCCATAACGCGCACGTAAAAGCAGCATAATGAGCATAAGAGTGCGCGTGCCCGGATTCGAACCAGGGATTTCACCGCCACAAGGTGAGGTACTGACCACTATACTACACACGCCTGGAGAAGCAGGGTATCGATCCCTATACCTCTCGCATGCTAAGCGAGCGCTCTACCATTTGAGCTACATCCCCGGATACTTTACTCGTCTCCCACCCGTCAACAAAATCCACTTTACGGACGCACCACACGCTACCACGCACTCTCCGCCGTACCGCAATCGTCAACCACCCATCGCGCCTCCGTTACGCACAATCCGCACACCAAAACTCGCGTACATGCCTCCGCACGGCCCAAACCGATCGCACGCTCTTTCCACACATGCCGCCTCGCGCACGGCGCGCTCAGCCTCCACAACCCGACCGTGAGCTCGTCCGCTGCGTGTTCCGCCTCTTTGGCTCGCGCCGGAGCGACTTGGACGGCACAACGACTGTCCGCCCGACGACCCTCCTACTGCCAGGACGGCCATTCGGGGCGCTTCATCCACTCTCTCCGGTGGCCTGGTGAGCTCCGACGACGCGGGAGGTACTACAGCTCCACTACGTTACTAGACCGAGCCACAAGACAATGCCATCGAGTCGCACCGCAGCAGTGTCGTCGTGAGGGCGACAAGAGGAGAGCGGCCGGGACCGCTCACGCCGGTAGGCTGAAAGGCGACAAAAAGCGGTAATTGGGGACCGAGAGCGTGGCGGGTGTGCATGGCGACGGCTAGGGGCGGCGCAGCGTCCATAACGCGCACGTAAAAGCAGCATAATGAGCATAAGAGTGCGCGTGCCCGGATTCGAACCAGGGATTTCACCGCCACAAGGTGAGGTACTGACCACTATACTACACACGCTTGGAGAAGCAGGGTATCGATCCCTGTACCTCTCGCATGCTAAGCGAGCGCTCTACCATTTGAGCTACATCCCCGGATACTTTACTCGTCTCCCACCCGTCAACAAAATCCACTTTACGGACGCACCACACGCTACCACGCACTCTCCGCCGTACCGCAATCGTCAACCACCCATCGCGCCTCCGTTACGCACAATCCGCACACCAAAACTCGCGTACATGCCTCCGCACGGCCCAAACCGATCGCACGCTCTTTCCACACATGCCGCCTCGCGCACGGCGCGCTCAGCCTCCACAACCCGACCGTGAGCTCGTCCGCTGCGTGTTCCGCCTCTTTGGCTCGCGCCGGAGCGACTTGGACGGCACAACGACTGTCCGCCCGACGACCCTCCTACTGCCAGGACGGCCATTCGGGGCGCTTCATCCACTCTCTCCGGTGGCCTGGTGAGCTCCGACGACGCGGGAGGTACTACAGCTCCACTACGTTACTAGACCGAGCCACAAGACAATGCCATCGAGTCGCACCGCAGCAGTGTCGTCGTGAGGGCGATAAAAGGAGAGCGGCCGGGACCGCTCACGCCGGTAGGCTGAAAGGCGACAAAAAGCGGTAATTGGGGACCGAGAGCGTGGCGGGTGTGCATGGCGACGGCTAGGGGCGGCGCAGCGTCCATAACGCGCACGTAAAAGCAGCATAATGAGCATAAGAGTGCGCGTGCCCGGATTCGAACCAGGGATTTCACCGCCACAAGGTGAGGTACTGACCACTATACTACACACGCCTGGAGAAGCAGGGTATCGATCCCTATACCTCTCGCATGCTAAGCGAGCGCTCTACCATTTGAGCTACATCCCCGGATACTTCACTCATCTCCCACCCGTCAACAAAATCCACTTTACGGACGCACCACACGCTACCACGCACTCTCCGCCGTACCGCAATCGTCAACCACCCATCGCGCCTCCGTTACGCACAATCCGCACACCAAAACTCGCGTGCATGCCTCCGCACGGCCCAAACCGATCGCACGCTCTTTCCACACATGCCGCCTCGCGCACGGCGCGCTCAGCCTCCACAACTCGACCGTGAGCTCGTCCGCTGCGTGTTCCGCCTCTTTGGCTCGCGCCGGAGCGACTTGGACGGCTCCGCCCGACGACCCTCCTACTGCCAGGACGGCCATTCGGGGCGCTTCATCCACTCTCTCCGGTGGCCTGGTGAGCTCCGACGACGCGGGAGGTACTACAGCTCCACTACGTTACTAGACCGAGCCACAAGACAATGCCATCGAGTCGCACCGCAGCAGTGTCGTCGTGAGGGCGATAAAAGGAGAGCGGCCGGGACCGCTCACGCCGGTAGGCTGAAAGGCGACAAAAAGCGGTAATTGGGGACCGAGAGCGTGGCGGGTGTGCATGGCGACGGCTAGGGGCGGCGCAGCGTCCATAACGCGCACGTAAAAGCAGCATAATGAGCATAAGAGTGCGCGTGCCCGGATTCGAACCAGGGATTTCACCGCCACAAGGTGAGGTACTGACCACTATACTACACACGCCTGGAGAAGCAGGGTATCGATCCCTGTACCTCTCGCATGCTAAGCGAGCGCTCTACCATTTGAGCTACATCCCCGGATACTTTACTCGTCTCCCACCCGTCAACAAAATCCACTTTACGGACGCACCACACGCTACCACGCACTCTCCGCCGTACCGCAATCGTCAACCACCCATCGCGCCTCCGTTACGCACAATCCGCACACCAAAACTCGCGTGCATGCCTCCGCACGGCCCAAACCGATCGCACGCTCTTTCCACACATGCCGCCTCGCGCACGGCGCGCTCAGCCTCCACAACTCGACCGTGAGCTCGTCCGCTGCGTGTTCCGCCTCTTTGGCTCGCGCCGGAGCGACTTGGACGGCTCCGCCCGACGACCCTCCTACTGCCAGGACGGCCATTCGGGGCGCTTCATCCACTCTCTCCGGTGGCCTGGTGAGCTCCGACGACGCGGGAGGTACTACAGCTCCACTACGTTACTAGACCGAGCCACAAGACAATGCCATCGAGTCGCACCGCAGCAGTGTCGTCGTGAGGGCGATAAAAGGAGAGCGGCCGGGACCGCTCACGCCGGTAGGCTGAAAGGCGACAAAAAGCGGTAATTGGGGACCGAGAGCGTGGCGGGTGTGCATGGCGACGGCTAGGGGCGGCGCAGCGTCCATAACGCGCACGTAAAAGCAGCATAATGAGCATAAGAGTGCGCGTGCCCGGATTCGAACCAGGGATTTCACCGCCACAAGGTGAGGTACTGACCACTATACTACACACGCCTGGAGAAGCAGGGTATCGATCCCTGTACCTCTCGCATGCTAAGCGAGCGCTCTACCATTTGAGCTACATCCCCGGATACTTCACTCATCTCCCACCCGTCAACAAAATCCACTTTACGGACGCACCACACGCTACCACGCACTCTCCGCCGTACCGCAATCGTCAACCACCCATCGCGCCTCCGTTACGCACAATCCGCACACCAAAACTCGCGTGCATGCCTCCGCACGGCCCAAACCGATCGCACGCTCTTTCCACACATGCCGCCTCGCGCACGGCGCGCTCAGCCTCCACAACTCGACCGTGAGCTCGTCCGCTGCGTGTTCCGCCTCTTTGGCTCGCGCCGGAGCGACTTGGACGGCACAACGACTCTGTCCGCCCGACGACCCTCCTACTGCCAGGACGGCCATTCGGGGCGCTTCATCCACTCTCTCCGGTGGCCTGGTGAGCTCCGACGACGCGGGAGGTACTACCGCTCCACTACGTTACTAGACCGAGCCCCAAGACAATGCCATCGAGTCGCACCGCAGCAGTGTCGTCG